ATATTAATGATAAAATTAATATTAATTTTTGTTATTTATTATATTAATTAATATTAAAAATATTTATTAATTATACTTTTAATTTATATTTTAAAGATATCTTTAAAATATAAATTAAATAAATTCATTAAAAAAAAATAAACGTGGAAGGAGATTATAATTAAAAAAAACTAATATCTCCACTTTGGAGTTAAGGTGGCTGACATTTTGGATATTGGGGAATTTGGATAAGTACTACTACTCCTACCCCTACTCCTACTTACAGGTATAATAAATGCACGTGTCGAATGAGTCCCACGTGGCCGGAGTTGAGTTGTCCGACAATTTTGATATGGACATTAATTAATTAGTACTCCATCTACTGATGTTACTTAAGCCGGCCGGCCGGCCGCAGTTTGAGGAGGCGTTTGTCTGAATCGACGAAAACGTTGAAGACAACCTTTTCTAGTAGTCCTCTGCCTCCCCACCCTTTCGTTCTTATTTTTACTTTTGTTTTTTTTCATAAAATTTACTTTTATAATTTTTTTATTAATTTTTAGATATTCAGTAATTATATTAAATTTTAATTAATTTAAAATTAAATTACGTTTGATTTCATTAGAAAAAATTTTTTTCAATACATATTTCTTAATTAATAAGATTTAAATTCAAAACTTTTTTAAAAGTGAATCAATCTCTCTTCCGCTCAAATAAACAAATCATTGGTTCTACAAAATCTTTTCTGTCAATAAATTAAAGAGGTAAAAGGATTCTTCTTGAACCCCATTTTCCTTTTTCTTTTATATATATATATATATATATATAAATCGTAACATCAATGGGTTGATTTGAAATGAAAGTACTTCAAAGGGAAAACTGCCTATCTAATGCTTTAATAAATTGACAAGTAATGTAAACATCCCTAAATTAGAAATCATCAAACAAAATCAATCCTAGTGGAGAATGAGATCCTTCTTCCTTATTAATATAATCTTACTACTTCTATATTTTTTTCCCACACTATTTATAATTAAATTGGAAGTGCAAACAAAGCATCTATTCTTTTGTTTCCAATATATATATATATATATATGAATTAATTAATCAATTTTGCCTTTTCTTTAAAAATTTCTCACACATAAGATGTAAGTTGACTATTTAGATAACTTTGTTAAAATATCACAAATACAAATATGATGCATGTACAAACTAGCAAGATCTTTGCAGAATAGCCAATTAAAAAATAAATGAATCTCGCTATCAATTAATGAGATACATGCATAAGATATAGACCTCTCAATAATTGGTGAAGTATTGAATTATGATTGTTCCCTAGCATATTCAAGATATTTGTATTCTTGCAAGGGTATCAATGAAATTAATGTTAAGATCAAATTGTCACGATTATAGAAAGGAAATATTTAATTTATTTCCTAATAGCACAAGTTAATAGT